CCCCCCCAGCGCCCCACTCTTAAGGAATACATTACGGCGACGCTAGCAACTTTGTTACTTAGGTTGGAATAAATTGAGACCCCCCCTAAATGAAAAAAAATCACTGATTGCACAGTTCATTCCCGCATTGCCGACCTCTCCATTCGTAACATTACCTGACGGACGCTGAGGCCAAAAGTGTGGACTTCATGTTACTCGACTTCCCTGCACGCAATGTGTATTGTTCACACGGCAACTTCAACGTTCCAATGTGTATCCCCAGCCGTGGTGTCCCGAACACGCAGGTGCCGTTTTCCCAACAGTCGATTGTATCACAGGTGGCACTGCGGCCCACAGACAGAATCCCCTTTACGCCGTTGGCCATGCGAAAACGCCCTGCTGGACCGCGTCTGCGTGGGCTGCATGGTTTTCCAGTGAATGTCAAGTCACCTTATGTGGAACTACGGAAGCTGGAAAAGTGCGTGGCGTTCGTCGCTTGCGGCTGAAACTGCTCGGGAGTTCGTTGCCAACTCCGGTACTTTTCCAGCGGCTTTGGAGTGCTGTGGTGCCGTTCAGATGTTGCGAATCGATGTTGTGTTCAGGAATGCGCAACGCAAAGCGGGCAGAAACGTTGTCCCTGATTGTCAAGAAGAAGGAAAAAGATAACACCGATGACATACAATCACGCATGCACGCGGTTCGGTTTGCCTTTACCCGGCCTCACTTGTTTGTTGGCAACATAGTGCCCGTTCATCTCTTTCGTTCGGGACCTAGGTACCCCAGCTCATCTCGTGCATCCACAGAAAACCTGCTGCTCAATCAGGACCGGTGGGTTATGGCGCTCTGTGTGCACCCTGACCGCCACCAAGCTCGGACGCGTACCTACCACCACCGACGGGTTCACACGCAACACCAATGCACCCCACGCACCAATGCAGCCCCTCACTCATATATCAACCGGAAACACGACTGCCGAATGCCACCCGGCTTCCCTTTGCGTACTTTGCTTGCTACACTGCACAGCGTACGCGTTGTCCGGCTGCCATCCACCGAAGAAATCTACGGAGAACCTTCCGTTCTCCACCACCACTACCACCACCACCGCCGCCTTCACCGGATAAGCCGCAAAGAACATCGAAAGCGCCCAACCAATCAAGCTGAGCTTTCCCGTTGAACCAAAATAGGTGGGGCCGTAGGTGACAGATGGAACATACCGTACATACATGCATGTAGTGGATGGGCACATACATGTGTATTGTGTCAATTGATGCATCATGTTCTTCGACTTGAGCAATGCTTCCCTGTTATACTACAATCAATTGCACAATTGCATCCACGTGAACCAAGGGTCCCCTTCCGACTTTTGTCGCCCCACGCCATCACTCCAGCTGAGCTCCCCTCATCCAAAAATGCACCATTCGTCTGCTTGCACCACTCCATAATAACGAAGAGTATACCAGTATCCATGCAACGATGCGGACGCACTTCGTGCAGGCGGCCCCACCCCAGCAGCCACTCGATTGAAACATACGACGGCACACATTAACAAGCCAGCCAGCCCTAGCCAGCCAGCAAGCCAACCAGACACAGGTAGCTAGACATGCAGGCTGCCATGAATGGGAAGATAGATAAAGCGACACATGAATGTTTACGTAGGCACCCAAGCAGCAATGGCTTCATTCCCAGCAGCTCGCTAAATCCACATCATTAGCCGAGCTGGCGTGTTGGCTCGAGGTGACGCTTGTGCGGCGGGCGGGATGAGGCGGCGGAACGGGGGCCGGCGGAGCGGAGGGTCGCTCATCAGTCATCGCCACCTCCACGGCCACCCCTAGCCCCTACAAACACCGCATCGCCCCAAGCGTCCATCCTGTGCAAGTAGGATTTCAGGAAGCAAGAGGACATCAGCAAGAGGACATCAGCTATCCATCCTGTGCAAGAGGACATCAGCCATCCATCCTGTGCAAGAGGACATCAGCCATCCATCCTGTGCAAGAGGACATCAGCTATCCATCCTGTGCAAGAGGACATCAGCCATCCATCCTGTGCAAGAGGACATCAGCCATTCATCCTGTGCAAGAGGACATCAGCCCTAAAAGCGGACCCTGATTTGGGCGCGGGCAAGCGAGGTGTCGGGATGGTAAGGACATGCATGGCGGATGCTGCTAAGACAGAAGCCCCAAAGGCCGTCCTGGTTGCGTCAATATGAACACATGTCATGCACTAAAATGCCGCCCATTTGTTCTCAGAGTGTAGCCATGGGCGGCGCATTCACGTACGCGCAAACGACTACTGGCGTTCTCACGCACATGCGTACTCATGCGCTGGACGCCGCCACCACCTTCCTACCGGCCCTAATTCCGGTTCCGGCGCCCCGAAACCAACGTCGCGCTTTTCCCACCCATGTCGTCACCCGTGTTTCCATCCGTCGCCTCGCTGTCACCCGCACCTGAATCGATCGTCCAGAATCAAGCCGGACGGGATAATGACCTGCGCCATAGGCAGAGAACAAACTGGAAAATGTAAGTGGGGATTACAGTCAACGTGCTGAGATTATATATATATATATATATATATATATATATATATATATATATATCGAGACACAGAGAAAACGCAGGAAAGGGAGAAAGGGAGACACGTGGTGAAAGGGAGAAAGGCAGACAGCCGCCCACATGCATGCCATGTACGAATCCCCGGTAGAACCCATTATGGGCTCCCTTCAGTTAGGACAGCGGTCCGGGCTCCCAGCCTAACAGCAACACCCATCCACATGCGCCCCCGACAGCAGCAAGTGGCTTGTTACTCCACGAGAATTTTTTAACATCCAATGAAGAATCCACCATTTATCCACCGCTGAGATTGCTCCATCATGATTACGGAATGGATGTTCACCTCCATTTCAACCAATTACACACAGATATACATATAGGTACACAAACCTTATGGCAACGTTTGCCCTAAGCCAACACGCATATGCGCACACATGCATGCATACGTACATACATTTACGCATACATACCTGCGTGTAATAGGCGGAGCACTGGTAGCCCACACGGTTGGGAATGTACGACGCGAACAGGCCCCACTTGTCGCCGACGCCGTGCTTTTTGGCGGTTTGCACGAACAACTCGTGCTCCTCCTGTGTCCACTCGCCCTGGGCCTGCAGCTCCCCGGGTGCAGTGTGGCGGTAGAAGTAGGCGTTGGGGTTCTTTTGCAGCTGGCTGGCGGCGAAGGCACGTGCGTCGCTCCAGCCCTTGGACTTGAGATGCGCCGGCACGTCTGGTGTGATCGGGGCCCAGCAGGTGCCTCGGTTGGCGGGCTCGTGCATGACGGGTGTCAAAGGATGTATATATTGTATATTGTATATGCCGTAGTGACACAGTAAAAAATAGTGACACACAATTGGGATGCCGTCACCAATGTTGTAGCATGTGTAATTGTCCCCAAGACCCCTCCAGCACGGGCGTCACCAATTGTACGACGCAGGGCGCATTTTTATGACTGGTAGGAAGTTAAACGAACAGCTTTATTACTTTTTTAGGTAAAGGATAATATATTGACGAACATGTTGGCAAGAGACACCCAAACAGAATTAACCGGCTTGGTAGAGAGAGACCCACACGCACAAGTGCACGCATGATTTTTAAACACGCACACATACACACACACACCTGATTTGCTAATTTTGCGCTGGAACTTGCCGCCTCCTCCTGCCTCCCACGCCTCCGCAGCGCTGGACGCCAGGCCCAGATGCTCCGCCACCTCCGCCTTAACCCAGCCCCGAAACCGGCCGTCTGAGCGAAACCATCCCTCAGGCAGCGACTGGCCTTTGAACTTCAGGTACTGCTCCTGCGGAATCCACCGGTGTGGGCGAGCGAGGTTACTATTGCATGTTGTCGACCCTTGCAGGACTTGCTTGCGGGTAGAGTCATAGCGTAATAACAGCAACAGCTGCACTAGCAGAGATACATGCGGGAGCCGTGGTGCGACTACAACGGCACCCGTTGTGGTGCACACATGTTCTCAATCCCGCCCCCTCCTCACATCCTCGCTTACACACATACACGCACACGCACACGCACACGCACCCGAAGTTGACAACCCAACTACCCAACCAGCTCACCAACCGTGCGCGATACAGCGATACCGTACCTACCTACCTACCTACCTACCTACCTACCTACCTACCTACGCGCTGTCTGTCCGTGCTGCCCTCAACCTGGACCCAGATCAGCCTCGGAGCCCTCGCCCCGGCCCCCGGCCTGATCCCATCTGCTTCTTGACCCACGGTTTCATCTTTTTTAATATATCCTCTTGGCCGACAACGCGACAATGAAGAGGATATTATACAACCCCTAGCCCGTAATGCTGTGTCACAAACGGGGCCCTGCACGACGGGCCCCCACAAACGGGCCCTGCACGACCCGGTCACCTTGCAAGGTTGATTCTTGGGTGAACCCTTGGGGTTGCCAAGGGATATCCTGTGTACCAGTGCCCAGTCTTCCCACACCTACCTGCGTCATGATGCCCACACCACGACCCGTGGCTCCAGCTTGGTCGGCTGCGGGAAATGGGCCCGGAGCCCAGAGAGCGGAGGAAGCACGGCGGGCAGGGGGTTTCAAGCAAGGCGCGAGGGAGAGGAGGCGGGAAACAAACCACGAACGCGAACCGGTAAAATCCTATCTACTCGCCAACGGCGCATTTATCTCATCCCATGGATGCAAGTACTAGGGAGACACACGACAGGTGTTGCTGGCTGTCGTGATGATGGCGACTGCGGCAATAGCGAGTGCTCTGCGTGTATTGGTAAAGGAAAAGGGCCCAACCCCCTTCAAAGTTGGTGACAACAAAAATTGCAAGCAACTAGCATGTCTGACCACCCCAGCCCCAGCCCCCAAACCTAGTTTTTTCTCACTTTATAGGGGTTTGCAGCCGACGCAAATGGATGGCTTGCGCCCTTACCCTTCGCCTAGGAAACCCAAGCCTTCTTTGGTACTGGCACAGGTACTCGGCAGCCGCGATTTCTGCCCCGCGCCCGCATTGAACATTCCACGACGCCACGCACCTGCTTCGCTCTCCACGACGTCTGCAATGGCTGCTGCAGCTGCAGCCCCCGCCAGACGCCCTGACCGCCGCATGGGCTCTATCTCGCCACGAGCGCGCTTTCCCTGAGCCGCTGGGCGACTGCCTGCTTGCACGCCCTCCGAAACCGATTGAGGTCGTGGGGCTGCGGGTTGCAGGTTATGCTGCCTGAGCTTCTCTACTGCCGCGGTAACACCGATCTGGGACAGCATCATCTGGTTCCGTTTGATAAGCTCCGCCCTCTACAATTAGTTCGAGAAATGTTCTTCAAAGCAAACCAGGTCGCCTTTGCCAGGCGCGATTTATTCAATATACCGAGCATAAATATATTATATTTAACTCGTTTGGATCGATCGCATACCTCGCGCTCAAGATCCGTCATCTCGGCTGATTGCGGTGCTTCATCTTGTTGATGTTTGTTGACCAAGCATCGGGCCTTGCCTTTGCCTCGCCGCTGCTGACCTTCTTTTATGCCGGTTGAGGCTGCGTCTAGCTGCGAGTCAATGACGGCAGTTGCTTCCATTTTAAGGAGGTTACTGGCAAGTCCTGGTGAGCGATGTCATGTAACTGAGAGTCAGTCAAGGAGTCAAATAGCCAACATGTTCGTTTCTGCTTTACAGGTACTGAGGAGCGGCTCATCTTTCCCGTGGGCGCAAGATTTTGACAGCTGTTAATTCGTACTGTCGCTGTTTAAACTTCCAGCCCGACCCTCCTTGCTCCTTCCACTTTCTGTACATATTTGCTGCATCATGTATTCATGATATATTAATTGCGCCATGATGCGCTCTGATCTCCGCCCCGTTGAGCGAATCGGTGTTGGGACCTTGTAAAAGACACACGACGATATAGACAGCACGAAGCTTCAGTCCTTTCGAGTGGCCCATACCAGGTAACGGCACGGGCCTTCAGAGCTTCCTGGCGGCAAGGTTTTATGCCTCTGTGCAGGGCTTGAAACGACGTACAACAGCTGACCCCAGGTGTTCACCCAGCGTCACGCTATTGAAGGGGAAGAAATACCTAGAATTGGATTTAACCACGACGCGGCGAAGCCAAACCCAACGCCCAAGGCCCTGCTGCAGTTGTTAACACCCACACAACCATGCTTCCGACTCTTGTTCCTTCTTGTGCGTTCCAGGGAGCTGCTCGTCCAACCGCTTGAATACCTTTACAACACTTTCCCTCATTTTTTTACCACAATCTCCACGTCGCAACATGTAATGGTTGTGCAGCCCCAACAAGACCTGCCAAATCCGCCGGCATCCGCTCACAAGCTCTGGTTCCCCTCCCACAACTCCCACATACACCAGGCACATACAGCAATTTGCTGACCTGATCTGCGTTGATAACTTGCCTCCTAAGCCTCCAGAATCTTCTGGTTCTTGTCCCCCTCGACCCCCAACCCATGACCTCCTACATCAGCGCCAACCAGCCACTGGGTCAAGCAGCCAGTGTATGTGCGAGATTCGTGCACGTATGTACCGGCGCGATGCTTTTCGGCAACGGCTTCATCAAACGGAACAAGACTTCCAACCAGATCAGAAAAACTTAAGTACGAAACTGTATCCCGTGCAAAGCTGAATCAATGGAAATCAACGCCGCACTAAATATGAATTATTACCTCTCTATCCCAGTCGACCACTTGATGCACCTTTGCCTATCCTATTCCTCCTCCTGAAAGCCTGACGAGACACCGATGGCCAACCGTCAACCGAAAACAATTAACCGGTGACAACCCAACCAACAAAAAAAGAGTAATACGAAGCAACCTCCTTATCAAAGCACCACACAGTTTTGAGACGCGGATTCGGAAAGATACGATCAACTTTAAGTGACAGAACAATTGTTGCAGCGGTTGTATGACCTTAGCAGCAACGAAAATCCGTTTCTTAGTTGAGGAAGCGCCCACGCAGCGAATGCCGTTACCCGTCATTCCGGGCCCATGCTTCGAAACTGAGTGAGTGTTTGTTTGCCAGTGAAAAGGACAAAATCCTATCACACATCCTACACAATACAGCACTGAGCACACAATCATCATATACCCACATTTTCGCTGAACGCCTACACAAATTAAGCCGGCAACTCCCGTCAGCGGCCGCCAGGGCGACTCACTCTGTATCCCTCCAGTTTCAGCTTAAAATGCTGCGGGGAAACGCCGGAGGAAAAGCCGCATTCGCAACCGCCACACGGCATGACATCACAACCGCCAACATCTTGAGTTTGACGCAGAATACAACAGTTACCGATAGTTGACCGGTCCGCGGTCTCAGTTTAGGGAGTAAGGGTAGCTCGCCTGGAGTGGTAGATCCCCCACTTGAATTCATGACTTACGAGGGCATCACTGGATGTCGACCTGGATGTCGTATCGTTCCACCTTGTAATCACAGGGACAGCCTTTGACAGCACCGCATAAGTACGTCCGGCGGGGTAGCCGGTCGCTGCTCGGACCCTGGGGCGCATACTATTAAAAC